ATACGTAGTACGAACAAAATCCATCCACCGTATTCATCTGATAGGTAGTAATATTCCAGCCGTCGGCTCCTTTAATTAGCAGCAATCACACCTGATCACTATTCATCTGATATTTTGATAAACGGTATCTAAGGCCACTTAAAAATCTAATTTGTTTTGATTAAAAATTATTTTATTGTTTTTTGATGTTGTTTTATTTAGTGATTCCCTATATTAAGTAATTTGTTATAGGAGTAAAGCAAAAGGTTTTTTGCCTGATTCTTTTTTAGTTCGGTTTCGGAAGCTTGTAAATTTGAGTTGATTTTGATTTATTTGATTATTGTATGGCCAATATTTAATCCCCAGGCTTTGGTTTTTAATTAATACGTGCCATCCTTGTTTATATGACAAAATCTGATCTTGTTTTAGTTAATATTGGGTTGGGTTACTGTTTGATCAATAACCAATACTGTTGCTTTTATTGAGTTACTTTTTGTATCATGAATCTTTACAAATTCGACATATTTTAAATTTCAGGAACTAATGAAAGGTCAATCTGCTTCACATCATGGATTGGAGTTAGATAACAATGAGATAGTTGGCTCAATGGATCGGGACACAAATGAGAATTCAAATGCCCGCTCATTCGTTCCAAATGAACTAGTTCCAACCGTCAGTATGGAGTTTGGCACGGAAGATGAAACTTTTGGATACTATTTAGCATATTCTAGACTGGTCGGGTTTGGAATAATAAAAAGCCGTAGTTATAAGAATAAGTTTGGAAGGGTGATTAGTAGATTTTTCGTTTGTAGTGCTGAAGGTACAAAACAACCTGATAAGAGAGATCCTATGTTAAGAAACCTTGAGTAGAAATAAGATTTAATTGCGAGGCAAGAATGAGAATCAAGTGGGCATCAGACAAATATCGGTGACAGAATTTATTGATGATCACAATCACTATATTTCAAGCCCTCATAAGACACATCTGGGGATCACACCAAAAGTAGGGCTTGATCTTATGGTGAGATTCGAAGGATGGAGGGACAATCTTGGCTTTATTCTTGAAGATTATAAAAATTGTTGAAGGACAAAGAGAACAAGGGAGATGAAAAAGGGAGATACTGGAGGAGTATTAGAATATTTACACAAAATGCAATTTGAAGATCCTAATTTCTTCCAAGCAATTCAAGTTGATACTGATGATTTGATAACAAACATATTTTGGTCAGATGCAAAGATGAGGAATGATTATGCAGACTTTGGGATGTAGTTTGTTTTGACACAAACTACAGGAAAAATAGTGAGGGTCGCCCACTTGCTTTGTTTGTAGTTGTAAACCACCACAAGCAAACTATAATTTTTAGTGTTGCATTGTTGTATGACAAAACCGCTTTTACGTTCAAGTGGTTATTCGAAACATTTGCAAAGGCTAAGTTAGGTAAAAGGCCTTTAACTATTCTTACTGATAGTGACAAGGCAATGGCAAGTGCGTTAAGAGAGAAATGGCTTGAAACTAATCACCGACTTTGTATATGACACATCTTTCAAAATGTTGCTACTCACTTGAGTGATGTTTTTTTCGGTTTAAAAAGTTTTCATGTGATTTTAGCTCTTGCATTTATGATTTCGAGGAAGAAGAAGACTTTGTCTCTGCATGGAATGAGATGTTGGAAAAATATGAACTTCAAAATAATGATTGGTTGAAACAATTGTTTTGCATGAAGGAGAAATGGGCCCTAGTATATGGTCGTCAGATATTTTGTGTAGACATGACTACTACGCAGAGGAGTGAGAGTATGAAAAACCTTGTCAGAAAGCATGTAAGTTACAAACATAACTTTTTACAATTTTTTGATCACTTCCAGAGGCTTATTGATGGTCATCGATACATTGAGTTAAAGGTAGATTTTAGAGCTATCACCAGCACTCCAACATTGCCAACACATGTTGATATTTTGCCAACACCTGAAGTGTTTAAATGTTTTCAAGATCAATGGACTAAATGTCATGATTGTAGCTTGAATGTTAGTGGCAAATATGGTACAATTACAAAATACGAGGTTACTCCAGTGGGAAAAAGTTGCTTTCATGTGGTCACTCATGATTCGATAGATGACGAAGTCCATTGCAATTGTAGAAAGTTTGAATTTGCCGGAATCTTTTTGAAGGTTTTTACCTCAAAAAGTGTCTTAAAAATACCCAATCAGCATATTTTGAAAAGATGGACTAGAAAAGCAAAGACAGGGTACCTCGGCAACAAAACTTTGAATGTCAATAAAAGTAAGGATACTGAAGTGTCACTAGGTTTGAGGTACAAAAACTTGAGTGCATTAACCCTCCGGCTAGTCACAAGAGCAGCAGAGAGGAAGGACACTACTAATATTGTAAAGCAAGGCCTTCTCAAGCTGTTGGAGTCAATTGATGAAATTTTACAAAGTGCAGAAGTGATTGTTGAACCAGAACAAGTGGCTCAAAATTAAGAGTTGGCTCAATCCAGTAATCCTGAATTAAATCACCATGGAATAAACATTGGTGAACTGGAGAAGGTTAAAGGTATTAAAGTGAGGACAAAACCTACATCAAGTAAGAGACTGAGGAGTGGTCTAGAGAAGAATTCAAGAAAAAAAAAAGGCCAGTTAAGAAAAACAAGACGTCTTCTAGGACAACTCACCACCCATGCCTTCAAATAATCAAGTTTGTCTTAATAAGTTAAACAAAATTTCAACATGTGAAAAAAATGATGCTCGACATCAATAAGAGTTCTTCTTTTAACAAGTTTCTCTTTTCCTTTTTGGTTTTTGTTTTTGTTTTTTTGCTACAACATAGCAAGTTCAACCACTTGATGTTGCCACTAATAACACGCATATGGTCTGCGCACATCAATATCCTGCGCTGCAATCAAGTTTTCAGGTATATTGTAGTATTGTTTCCTTTGTTCAAATTTGTAGTAACCCCTTAAACATTCAGATTTCCCAATTTAGGGCCTTCATAGGGGACAAGTGAACATAGCTTTGCTGCCACTCCGACCACGATGCGAATGACAGATTTATTAATGGTGATTTTCCTTTCCGTTTCACAATTGTGATGATTGCATTAGATTTCATAACTAGTTTTTTTTTGACAGGTTATTTCTTGATTTGATTTGTAATATATAAAAGTACATGTCTAATTGTTAGGCACAACAATTTCATGGTTTTAACCATTTCGGCGCCGATGAGGATTTCAGAGCACAACAATCCCATAGTTTTGACAATTTGAGGATTGGGGACAATCCCAGAGTTGATCATTGTGACGAGAAGTGTGGCTGTTCGTTTCCATGTCTCGGAGGCATATTTTGTACTTGTAAAATGGGAAATAATAAGGGGTGAGTTCGTTTTCGATTATCATCGAAATCAAGTTTATTTTTATTTATGTTGGAGAATTGAAGTTCTCATATTTTTTCTGGTCTTGATATACTATTTATGATACAAAAACAATGAAGACGGTATTTCAATATCTAGTTTCAATTTATGCACGTCATTGTGAAAGAGTTATTGTGCGTGACTCCATGCCCATATGCCCATAACTGAAGCTGGCATTGAAGTTCCCACGCATTCCTTGAATGTAGTCCACTCTTCAAGTGATACAAAAACATGGCAGTCAGAAATCCACATGACAATTCAGATTCTTGGAAACTATTGTCATTGTCTTTTTTGGCCAAAAAATGGCAGTTATGCCCAAAACTTTGGCCTCATCGTTAATCCTACCCCATTGATTTTCAGTTAGCCAATTTTTTCCTTACTGTTTAAAATTTTCAACAGTTTTGTCCAATTGGCCTAATTTCCAATAAAGTTAACGGATTTTCGTTAATTTTTAACAAAAAAAACCTTGATAATTTCAAAAAATTATGAAAATAACCCAAAAAATACAAAAATAACAAAATATTCAATTTTTACTTTTTATTCAGTTTTTTCTATTTCATTGTATTTCTCTTTACTACTTTTATAACCATCAAAATATACTATATGATCTTTAAGAAAATAATTATTTATTTTCAAACACTATTTTTCATGTGCAACACATGTGAGTTGGGTCAAGGGTTAAAACTCATATAATATACTTTTATGGTCATTAAAAGTAGTTGAGAGAAATGGAACAAAATAGAGAAAAATGAAATAAAAAAGTGAAAAGGGACTATTTTATTATCTTTATATATTTTAGAGATTATTTTTAAAATTTTTAAAATTATTGGGGTGTTTTTGTATTTAAATTTATTATTTCATTTAAAAACTAACGGAGATCCGTTAATTTGGACGGAAAATAGGCTGATTGGACGAAATTGGCGAAAATTTCAAACATCAGGGTAAAGTTGGCTAACCGAAAATTTATTGAGTATGATTGACAACGAGGGCAAAGCTTTGGGTAGAAACGACATTTTTTCCCATAATGGACTGAACCAAATGTCACCACAAGCTTATCACGGGTTAGGTAAACTGCCATAGTTGGATTAGAGAAAGGAACAAACCACCACTAGGAACAAAACCGGCATTAGAAACCCTTGTTAGCAAACAATTATAAAAAATTAAAAGCCGACAATAGCTTCACTAGTTGAAAAATCTTGCTATTGATAATCAATTGAGCTTCTAAGTACACCAATCGGATAACACAGAATTAAGGGCAAAAGGCGTAAAGTCAAAAGAAAGCTTACCGTAAACGAAGCCAAAACCACAACGCCGGCACCGAAACGAAACCGATACCAAATGGAAGTTAATTTGGAAAGGGGAAAGAAAATCAAATTTGGCCGCCGGAGGACTTTGGAGATGTATTAGGTGATGATGTTTCCCGGTAAGGAAGAGATAGATTGCATCTGGAAGGGAAGGAGGGGGAGAGAGAGAGAGAGAGAGAGAGAGAGAGAGAGAGAGAGAGAGAGAGAGAGAGAGAGAGAGAGAGGGGGAATTGATTGAACCTTTCCAAAAATTATCGGCTCAGCTCAAGCTGACATATAATAACCTAGGAAAAAATTTGATAAAATCAAAAGGAGCGGCTGAATAAGAGTACGACGTGGTTAGTTAATCTTAGAGGAACTTACAGGGAAAATTATTGACAGAGGATCCGATCTGGTTAACTTACCAGTCTGAAATGATCGACTTGCTCCGCCGCAGGAGCTTTATTTTACAAGCCTCTCTTCCAAGAAAAACGTACACGCACACCACATAAGATTGGAGGAGCTAGATTTCAAGTTTAAATAACAGTCAACACCAATACATCATTTGGTGGATAAGTATTTTTCACTTGAAAATATTAAGTGTACATTAAGAACAAACACAGCCTTAATTATTTATTTACATATAATAAGAGAGCTGGAAGACATCGATCACAAGTCACGCATGGTGCACATATGCCTCTTGATTCTTGAGGCATTGAACCCATAAATTCTTTTTACTTAATTAATTTCAGCCTCCACATCCTCCGCAGCCCCCTCCACAACCCCCGCAACCACCTCCGCATCCACCACCGTCACCGCCACCACCAGCATCACCACCGCCGCAGCCAGTACCACCGCAACCTCCACCATCTCCGACAACGGCTTCTGTGGCAAGAGCAGCAACTGCAACACCCGCAGTTGCACCCAACACAACCATTCCTCCATCTTTCAATGCACTACTCCGTGCGGTTGTTTGACCTTTCTCTACATCGCGATAAGACGGAGGAGGAGGAGGCGGACGATTCCTCGGAGGAGTCTTCTTCTTTCTGTTTGGAAGAATACACCAAATGAAGATCGATGCCGCGATTACGACGGCAACCACGATGGCTGCTATCACACCACCTTTCATCCTTCTGCTTTTTGTTGCTTTTTACAAATTGTCAATCATGCATCCCACCCACCTAGTACCAACTGTGGTTTCAACTTTAAATAGTGTTTTGGGGGCTTTATTTATTTATTTACAGGAAGTTTACAGTTGCTTGTTAATTTAGATTATCATTTGAAAATTGCACAAGAAATTTGGTGCAAGACTTCATTAAATTGAAGCTACCGCGTATGCAACTATTCTCTCCGTTGACGTTACTTGCGAAACATGCATTATTTCACCTAATTTCAAGTTGGATTATGTAAGTCAACTTTGGCCACGTCTTTTTTTAAATGGTTTGTGTAGTCAAACATTTATAAATTAATAGATGTAGTAATTTATCAACATTTATAGATGTATTAATAAATTACTATTAGCTGATAAAATTATCGAAGTTAATTTATCAATAAGTTAACAAGTAGTTAGTAAAACATTGTAACTAGTGTTCCTAAAACTTTGGCTTAGTATGAAAATAATGATGATTTAATGTTTTTTAAACTAATTACACACAATGAAGCACTTAATTAGACAATAACTTTTCGAAGAATTTGTTGCAATATGAAAAATCTATACTGGAGCTTTAGAAAGCAATAAAAAAAAATAAGGATGAAATCTCTTTGAATGTAAATTTCAAGAAAAACATACGTTACTAGATTCATATTTTACATCTCCTAATTACTTTTTATAATTTCAAGTCACTATTAATTTATGATATTGATAGGGCCTATATTTATACATAGGAGTTTTCTGAAAAATTATCATCTAATTATTTTGTCGATTACTTTTATTTTTCGTACTGGTCCTGACTTGGGACCGGAGAAAATTATTAATTTATAAATATTATTAATTTATCGATTATTAATTTATAGGTATTCTACTATGTATAACAATACTAAAAGACAATAAAACCTCATTTTACCCACCCTAAATGGAATTCGATTTGTTGATTTCTAAGAAATTGATTTAGAGATTTTTCTTCAATTATTCTGCTAAAACACACCGACTAATATAGCTGATTTCCAAATGGAAATATTAACATCTTTTGGTTCAAGTATCATACCTAAGGAATTTCTTTATTAATGGTGGTAATTTCTCAAATGAAACTAAGGGGCGTTTAGTTAATTCTTACTGCGCAAGATGTCATCGTTGAGCATATATACCACTACTCTTCTTACATTACTTGACATGATGGAATTTCTTTCTCAAGTAACCTGATTTATCGAACTACTACCGCAAGTGACCTAAATATATATAAATCATATTACTTCCATGATTTAATTTGTGCCATCATATTTTTAATTGTCACGATGGAACATAAATAAATGTATAGAATGGTAGAATAAGCATTAACTACTTCTCCACTTTTTTCTCTCTGTTATCTTGCGTTCTCTTTTCTTTCTTTTTACTGTATTTCAACTTTTGCAAAGATTTCCTGTTTCTGTTTTTTTTTCCAACGTGCAAAGATTGAAAATTAAGGCATCATCGTTGTCAATTATTTTACTAAACTTTCTTGGTTCAATCATAGCTCACAGAGATCTTCTACAAAAGAAATACATAAGTAATCATGAATTTCTTTTATTTTTTATTTTTGGTAACCGTAAATTTCACTGCTTTCAAAATTGAATCTGTACAAGTGCTTATCTCCTATTACAAAATTGCAGCTTAATGCCAAGTTTTTCTAAGTACCGAATGTCATCATTACTACCCTTTCTACAATGGAATTGCTCATACCAAGTTATCTCCTGTTTTACTAGTTCAATTCTTTGGCCAGCTGTCATCTTTGATGAGCCAAATTTCCTGCAATTCCTGTCTCTCCATACATGATATACACATGCCACAATGCAAGCACGTAGAAGTCTCTGTTTAACTGCTTGAAACCTCCATATTCTGAGCAATCTGATAGTACTAATCCTCAGTTTACTGCTATTCAGTTTAATTCCCAGCCAATTTGTGAGCCCTTTTAGAACTTTGGAAGCAAAATCACATTCAAAGAACATGTGATCCAGCTTCTCCTCTGCTTGTCCACATAGCTCACAATTCAGATTAGCCTGCACTATTCCCCTTTTTCTCAATCTTTCTTTTGTATGGAGTCAATCTTTCCAGGCTAGCCAACATATAAAACTTTGCTTTGGGATGCAGTATGAGTTCTAGACGATCTTTGCCTCTCTTCCTCTTTCTTTGTGCCGCCTCAAACACTCATAACCACTTTGAGCAGTGTATTTTTGTTTCTTATTTCCTTGCCAGACCCCATTTGTTACTCCTCCTTTCAGCTCTTCTTTGATTTGATTTATTCTTTTCCAGTGCCAGCTAACTACAGGAACAATGGTCTTTAGCGTCACAAAAACTATGACGCTAAAATTAGTAAAAGTGTCGCAAAAAGGCAACTGCAACACAAAATGCGACAGATTGCATAGGGTCGCAAAAAGTGCTGTCACAAATTTGACGACACTTTTTCAAAAAGTGCCACAATGAAATGCGACACTTTTGCAACACTAATAATATGCCTCATGATTTAGCGACACATATCGTGTCATTTATTATGTTTGCCGCATTTGGACGTTTAATTTTTGGCGTTAAATTTCTATTACTCTTTTGTACTGAATGGTATTGAGTTACTATTATTTTTTGTTTCGAATTAATATTATTTATTTTTTCTCTACAGCCTTAACATGATTAGATAAATAATATACTTTATGATCTCATATATAATTATTGATGAATTTGAAAGAAAAGAAATCTCTAAATATGATGGATTAAAAGTTATTCTAAAAATATACAATAGTAACAAATATACAAAAAAGGTATTACAATCTGTAGGCGATACATGACTCAAAATATGGATAATAGTCATTCTAATCAATTCCTACAAATAAAAACTAAATTATTAATTTAGCACTCATTCCAATTTTGATCTAGAAGCTGCCTTCATTTATCCTGCAAGACAAAGAGACATTGTAGATAGAAGAAGGGATTAAAATATGTCATCATGTTTGACTGTACACTCAAAAGGTAAAGTGCAAAACCCGTGCTTTGTCAAATACAAAGCTCTTCAACAAATAAATTTTTTGAGATGATTTTTTTTATGCTAAAAAACTAAGGTGAAAAGTCAAGGAACTTACAATCACAAGCCAATGCAATAGCCTATAAAATATCTCGATACATATATTTCCCAACCAACTTTCTGCAAAAAAAAAAAAAAAGAAAAAAACAGAGGATTTTATGTCAAAAAAATCATTCATTAAAACAATAAGGTTATAAAATTATGTCAAAATCTTCAAGGATTTTATCTTTACAACAAATCTAACCTTGTTAAGATCTATTAATCATGCTTTTACCAAAATGCATTGCTTCCTAGTGAATGGAAATAACATCCAATAACAAAGGATTGCTCACCTTTTTTATTCTTCTCGATTACGTTGCTTTTCATTTTATTTCTCCACACAAAGATTTCCTTGCAGATACTCTCTTCTCTAATGGATCTAAGAGGAAGTGCATTCAAACCGTAATATTTATTAAAATTTATTAAAGGGAGTATAAATGACAAAAATATTGTAAGGAAAAGATGGGCAACAAACCGTAATTTTTTAAACAACTCGAATCCGCTTCTCCCAACTATCTAATTCTTGAATCCAATACCAAAAAACAACAATGAAACCGAATAAATAATTGATAAAATGGGTCAGGGATAACCAAAAAAAAATAGAAGAAAAAATAGAACGGCAAAAAAAAAAAACAAAGATGGAGATTTACTAGGCAGGCATAGGCCCAAGAAGGTACTATGTGACTATCTCTTTGAATTTTTTTACGAGTTGGAGAAATTGTATTTGAAGATTAAGACTAAGAAACAAAAACAATCCAATAAATGGAATAAAGAAGGAAGAAAACATGGTGAAATGAGAACTTGAGACTTGAGAGGTGGTGGCTGGGGAGAATAAGGAAGTAGGAATAGAAACACTAGTAGGGTTGCTAGAATTATATTTATATTGGCAATTAAATGAGTTTTCCTTTTTTTTGTAGTTTGAACAATTAAGTTTTTGAAATTATATAATGCCACCCTTATCATTAAAGAAATAACACCCTTCAAAATGTTATCATATTTCTTCCATAAAACAAATGTAATTATTGTCAATTAGATCCTTTACGATTTTCTTTTCTCTTTTAATTTGATCTACATTTTTCAATCTTTAAACTTCCGTAAACAATTTTTCTTGATAAATGGTAATTATATTGATCAGAACCACCACAAACTTGTAATCATTCGTGTCCTCTAATATTATTACGTACGACTAGATCTTGAACTCGTAGCACTCCTTCTTTAACTTAAAATTAACTCTAGGCTTGTTATAATTCTTTTCAATTTTATTTTCTTTTTGGTTTCATCATAATAGTGGTTTAATCTACATTATATATAGGAGACATTATTGCATAGAAAATGATATGCGCTGTGAAAATATACAGTGAAAAAAAGGTGACTGATGTATGCCCTCTATTTTGTTACCACTTTACCGTTGAACTTTTATCTTTCCCCCAATATTTACACGTTTGTCCTAATTATTATGTACATATCAGTCACTATGCATTCTCACTATATATCTTTCGATATATACATATACTTGATTACTGTAAGAAACCATTGAAAACTATTGTAGACTTAAATAATGATAATGATACAAAATGTAAACATTCTCTTACTAGCATCGTAAAATAGGGACAAATTTGGGAAACTATATTAACTAACTGAACATAGGTGCTATTTTTAAAAAGATTCTTCAACGGAATTTTGTCACAGGATTATAGCACCGCTTGTATTATCTTACTAATTAACGACACATTGTTAAATAGCTGCATAGAATATGCCGCAAATTTGCGGCAGAATTTTTGTTGTATAATCGACGCCAAATTCCGACATGATATTAAAATGACGCAAGTGTGTGGTAAATTTGAAGCAAACTTGGAATAGTGCCATTAATTAGCGACACATTATTCTAATGCTGCAAAAATATGCCGCAATTTTGTGACAGAAAACTTTGATGCAGCAGATGTGACGCTGTATTATGGCACATATGTAAATTGACACAATTGTGCCGCACATATGTGGCACAAAGACAATAATGCCACATATTTTTGGCACTACACTACGACATCGCTTGCAAAAGTGTCGCGAAAAGCCTGTTTTCTAGTAGTGATACTGCTTTGAGGAGCTTTATACTGCCAAAAGTCTTTCCCTTTTATATACTATGTGTGCATCCACTGAACCCAAATATTTTCTTTCCTCTTTGCTATATCCCATATCTGCTTTCCAACTAGGGCTTTATTCCAGTCTATAGGTTCTTTGACTTGATATTTAATCCACATTTTGCTTTTTTACAACACAACTCTTCCCAGGCTACCAAAGAAATTTTCTGCCGTATCTCCTTTTTCGCCCACATGAATTCTCTGCATTTTTTGAATAATTTGCTGAATCACCTTTGCTGGGATGACAAACATGCTTGCCCAGTAGCTGTGCAGGTTTAACAGAACAGTGTTAATTAGCATGATCCAGCCAGCATACGGGAGGTTACGAAAAGTCCAGCATTTTAACCTGGTAGTAATCTTTTCTGTCATCATCTGGCATTCTTTCTGAGTCCAAGCTATTGGAGTCAGAGGCACCCCCAGGTATTTCATGGGAAAGTTTTCAACTCTAAATCCCATAGTCTCTTGAATTTCCATCTGTATCGTTTCTCCACACTTACTGAAGTACAGACTGGACTTCTGAACACTAACTACCAAGCCTGTTACTTCTTCAAACTGAGTCAGACTAGTTTTTATTCTTTCTCTTGTGCTCTTTCTGACCCACACAGAATGACTAAGTCATCAGCAAAACTTAGGTTACTGATGCCTAGTTTTTTACAATATGGATGATACTGAAACTTTTCATTTTTAGCCTCTATCTTTAGTACTCTAGTCAAATATTACATGACTAGAACAAACAGGGGGACAAGGGATCTCCCTGTTGTAATCCTATTTTTCCTTGGAAAAAACCAACACCACTACCATTTAAGTTCAGACTATGGTAGCATATATGTATTCACACAGGTCATCACCCACCCTATGAATCTAGCAGAAAATCCATAGTTATACAGCATTTCTTCTACAAAATCCCAGTGCACTGAATCAAAGGCCTTTCTAAGGTCAATCTTCATGACACAACTAGGTTTAGTATTTTTCCGATTATATAACCTAATCAGCTCCTGTATTAATAGCAAATTATGCATAATTTGTCTCTGTTTTACAAAAGCTCCTTGATTTGGATCCATCAACTCTGGCAATACTTGACTGAGTCTATCACATATCACTTTTGGCACACACTTATACAGAGAATTGCAATAGGAGATGGGGCGGTATTCAGCTGCATTCTCTGGTCTATCATTCTTTGGGATTAAGGATATAATAGTAGTGTTTATTTCCTTTAACATTTTCCCTGTTTTGAAGAACTCTAGCACAACTTCACATATCATTACCCACTATATCCCAGGTTCTCATATAAAATCCACTACCATAACCATATGGCCCCGAACTTTTATTTTCATCTATACTAAACATTGTTTTCTTAACATTAGCTTTGGTGAAATCTTTAACAAGGAGTGCCTGCTGGTATACAGTCAATTTAAACCCTAAGTTAAAGGCTTCACTTCTAACTGGTTTCCTAGTTTGTTCTTTTCCTAACAGATTTTCAAAGTAATCAACAAAATGCTTCTCGACTTGTTCCCATTTTTTCTATCAGATTCCCATCTTTATCATGAAAAGATCTAATTCTATTTCTAATAGTTTTCTGTTTGATAAAGTTGTGAAAGTACATGGTATTCAAGTCACTTCCACTAATTAATCATTTACACCCAAAACAAACATGTAGAATGTATTATTATTATGTATAATAAAAACAAATTGAAGGGCAAAACTTCAACAAAATACATACTATATTCTCCAGGACATTCAGGTCATGACGACATAATAAAAGTCTTCAACCACCGCAACTACTACCGTAACCGCCACCGCAACTGCCGCCACCACAACCACCTCCACCACAATCGGCAAAGGAATCGGCCCAAAACCCCCCCTTTCCGCCACCATCACCACCTCCAGGAAGACTCACCTGGTTGGCCCCACCACCATCAGAACTACCACCATGGCTATCCCCGCCGCCCCCACCACCACCACCAACAGCTACTTTATAATCATCACCATACAAAAAACCTCCACAAGCGCTACCATTCATCTTGCCAGGTTTTTCTGCCTTCCCAGTCAAAATACCACCCGCAACATCAGCAGCCGCCACCGTAGCGGCAGCGGCGGCAGCGCCTGTGCCGGACAAGATCACCATATTCCCACCTCTCTCCTCTCTGACAACACCTGCGGCCTTTTGCTTAGTGTTCGTCGGCCGAGGAAGACAAACATCGGTTTTTCTCGGCTTAACAACAACAGAGTTTTGTTTTGGATCATGATCTCCACTTCCTAGGAGTCTCCGGAAAGGCCATTTTGAAATAGAGCCTCTGTTAAACATATTGTAGATGGGGAAAGATTGTTTTGTTTAGGGTTTGAGCTAGAGGAGGCGGCCAGAGAGGACCAGAGAGGAGAGGGTTTGGGGACAAAGACTCTAATTATACACTTTGGTGAGATTTTTTCTCAAATAACTTATCTGTAAAATTATTTCCATAAGTAATCTAAATTGAAATTATATTCCGTAAATGATTTAAGTTGTGCCATGTTATACTTTTGATTACTATTATGGAAAATAAATAAATGTATAAAAATTAAACTTAACTACCCCTCCATCTTTTTTTACATCATCCAGCGTTTTCCATCTCTTTCTACGCTTCAACGATTTTTTTTTCTTTTAACTTTTTTGTCAACGTTAGAGAAAGATTGAAAATAGTCACTGCCGTTTTCTTTTATTAAATTCTCTTGCTTTAGCCGTACTCTGCTACGATCTTCTGCAAAGACAAATATTGCAGAAGTAACCCATGTACTATTTTTGTTTTGTAACTTCTGTTCATCATTTTATTTGTTTGTACTCATCTAGAATTCTAGCATCCATCAATTGTCTACGAAAGTTGCGTTATTCTATAAATGATTTATTCACGGTTTATAGTCTCTGTTATTACAAGGTTATATGATAATGACCAATTCAAATATCACACTTCTACATTAACTGGTTTAGCAATGAAAAGTTTGAGCCGAACTTGCTTGAATTGTTGCAAAGCCACAAACTGCTTCACTGTACAGTAAATACCCAAACAAGAAAATTGTGAAAAAAAAAACACAAGGCACTTACTGAAGAAAAAAAAATATTCAAAGTTCTCTTTGGCATTTTATCAAACAACAAACAAGCATCAGTTGCTCATGATCTTGAAGGCCCAAGTATAAGTCCACATGTGTTTCTACCTCAAAACCAATTGGTAATGAGGGAAGTACCACATGGGTTATATATGTTGGGTTTAAATTTTTCCTTCCATCCATGTGGGACAAGGGAATATGAGACCATTTTCGTTCTTTTATTCATTTAACACGCCCCTCTCAAATCCATTGGGCTTGGACGGGTAATTTTATATATTTTTTTTCAGTCTTGCGATCGGTTATTTTCCCGGATAAACAGTCGCCTGTCGAACCAGTCAAACCTCGGATTTCTTCCGTGGGTTAGTCAAAGTTTCAAGAACCAACCTGGATCAGTCCACCTCGCCCCACAACTCCCACAGGTCCGCGGATTAAAACACACTCTGATACCACTTTGAAGGCCCAAATATAAGCCCACATGTGGTTCCACCTCAAAACCAATTGATAATGAGGGGAGTAGCACATGGGGTATATATGTTGGGTTCAAGTGTTTCCTTCTATCCATGTGGGACAAGGGAACATGAGGTCATTTTTCTTTCTTTTATTCATTAACACTATCCATGTTTATTTCTCTTATTTCACTTTGAACAGTTTCTCTTGTTATCTTATTTCTTCTCTCTTTCTTGCTTAGAAATATATATGATTCGGTATTTATAGAATTCGTAGTTCCGGAATCCTTTTGTAGCTTAGGCTCCATTTGGACAAGAGTTTTAAAAAGACTTTTAAGGCTAAAAAGTCTGTTTAGAGTTTAAATGTGTTTGGACAAAATAATTAAAGTCTTTTCTAAACATCAATTTGAAAAAAAAGGAGGCTTAAAACAGACTTTTTAGAAAATAGGTGGGGGGAATTTTTCAATTTTTTGAAACAAGGCATTTTTCACCGTTCGCGGGTCGAAATTCGGTTCGAAGGCAGGTTATGAAAAAGTCGGGTCATCAATATAACAGGAAAACAAAGCCCTTTCTCACTCTCTTCATACCCTAGACCGCCACCCCTTTCTCACTCTCTCTCCTTCGGCACCCCCAATGCCGGCGAGGCGGCGACGGCGATGGCGATGGCAAAGTAAGAGGCGACACCTTGTTTTGGTAATCTTTCTTATTCCCGTCTTTTTCTTCTTTTTGATTGGATTAGGGTTAGTTTCTCATCACTTCTAATGCTTAAATTACCACTAAAATTCTTCTTATTTTAGCATGGATCTGTGAGAATTTTTCGTGGGTTTTACGTATTGAGTCATATTTGAACTGGGTTTTTTTTTGTGTGTCGAAATCATTACAGCTGAGCACGAGTTAGTGATTTTGGTTAAATTCTCGTGTCTTTGTTGATTTGGTTTCCTTTCTGGATATTCCTTTCTGGTTAAAAAGTATACTTTCTGAATTCTTTTTTCCATCAGTTTTTGTCTGTTTTCTGCAATCAATCAGCCTTTCATAAAGCATTATAGCAAGTAAAATTTCAAGTCTAAATTTCGGTGAGAATGACTGCTTTGTTGGGTTTCTTTTCTTGTTTGACTTGAGCAAGGAAAAAAGGAAAAATAATAATGGAAGAACGAAGCCCCTTCCAAGTAAGTAGTAGTAGAGTGAAAAATTAACACAGTCCAAGTCTGGTATAACAGCCATTTTGGTGGGTTTTATAGACTTTCCTGCTTCATCAGATCTTATCCTGCATTTTTCATGTTTGTAAAAAAGGGCCGCATTTTGCCCTCCTCTTGTTGTTGTTTTTTGTTTTTGTTTGCATGTTTCAATGTGGGATTAGCTTAATGTTGATTAGAAGCTGAAATTTGGACTAAAAAAGAACTGCATTTTGTGATAGATCTAAGAAGGGTTGTTTTTATTGGTATGTAAGCTAATTTAATCAGTGTAACCGCTGTTCTATGTAATGGTAAAGTGAAAAATATGTGCTCTTTCTATGTTTTGAAACTTTTATCTTTTTTTTCAGTCTTTGTTTCCGTACCCTTTTGCTGCTTTGAGGGTTTAATTGGGAATGATTTGTTAATTTTTTGTTTCTTTTGAGGATGCTTTCTATTTGAATTCTTGTAGTGTCTTTCTGTTGTTCAAAGTTTTTGAGTAGTGGAACATCCTTTTCTGATGTTGTGGTTTTCCAAGAATTTCAACTAAAAATTGGAATACATTTTGAAGTTATGTGATATGATAAATGGTGTAATATTTTGTATGAGATTGATCAATAGCCTAGGAGAGTTAATATTTTGAAGTTATATGATATGATAAATGGTGTAATACTTCGTATGAGATTGATCAATGTTCTGCAGCAAAATCTTCTCGTGTGAGTGTGTCTCTTTCGTGCTTTATGTTGTGAGTGGGATTAAGAATCCACGTCAGTTTTGAGACTGTAACAAATAGGTACTACTAGGTTACAGAATCACTAATATAGGAAAGAGGATTTGAGGGAATATTCCCTTCTAATCTACATGAATTAATTTGTAGATGGAATTTGGAATTATCATCCACTCAGTCTTAGCTCCCTTGATCAATTAGTAGTTGCTGTACTTTACTCTGTTTATTTTATGATCAGTTTTTTATATTCAGTAAAAGAACGCATGCATGTATGTATCGCTCAGGCATCTGTACATCTGTATGTATAGCTCAAGCATCAACTTGTTATTCTTCTTGATGTTTGCTGTTTTCTGATGGTTCTAGCATCTATTACTCTGTTACTGTCCTGTCTGGTGATCTTGATTTATAATTGTAACATTCCAGATTTAGTAATTAGTATATTAAATTATTAATTGGCTAGTTCTAAGTGATACTATGCATGATTTTTCTGTTCCTTATTTTTTTTTTTTTTGGACAACTCTTAAGGCCTCTGAGTGCTTTCTTCCTATCAAATCCTCAACAGAATTTTACCACTTTTTCCTGATTTGACATTTCTTGCGCGTAGTTGAACAACATTTTTTATGATTCACCTATGCAGGTTCAAGTAAGTTCAACTGAATTGTTTCCACAAAGATCTGGGGAGCCAGATTGTCAGGTTCAAGTAAGTTCAACTGTATGTTTGTTAATTAGTATTTTTCTCCTTTCCATTCCTGTGGTTGCTTTTGTAGGAATCTGTTTAAGTGCTTATTGCACCTCTGATCACTTGCGTCTTGTTTCGTGTCACAATGCTGTTAAAGTGGCGTTTGTATGAGGATGTGTTCCCCTTACCTTGAATTGCAAAAATGCTACTTAAATTTATGTTTTTCAAACTTCCATGTTCCACCACTCCACCCATTCTAACTGCTACAGCATATTAAGTACTATAAGGCTAGTAATTTTCTTATTTCTGTAGAGAGGTAGTCTTCTTTCCTTTAAATTTCAGCTGGTTAAATATTCCTATGTAGTTATGGATGTTTTCCATGCTGTAAAGTTGTAGGATGAAATTCTAAGCATAGGTACTGCGTATTGGATGTCTGCTTTGCTCAATGTGCCACCTTTCTTCTTGGTTGGCTTCCTTGGTACTTGGTAGCTTGTGACTACCATCTATTACTCCCTTAGCTTTCTATGCTTGATATCCTCAGTAAAGCAGCTCAATTAGGCAACTTCCTTCTTCCTTTCCCTTCCAATGCATTTTCTGGTTGGTGCAATATTCAATGAATGGTGGAAATATACGTTCGGCACTTAAGTGAACTAGATGTATCTGTTTATACTGAGATTGTGGAGAGTTGTACAAGGATCAACGTTAATAATAAGCTTGCAGAATCCATTTCATCTGTGAATCACAGATTTTTTGCTTTTGGTTTTTCTGATGAAGTTTGAAGTACTTTCAGATTACAAGATAAAAGTGAACTAAACTTCTAAAACTGCTGTACTCATGGCTTATTTCCGCAATGTCAAGATTGTGGTTATTGAATACCTTGTCTTATACTATGTAGCATACGCCTAGCAAGAATATTATTTTAAATGAAAGCTACATGAATCTGATTGCTGACTACCAACTTTTCTTATTCCTATTTGGTCCTTTGGTTTTATTTGACGAGGGAGAGCAATTCATTTTTTTGTGGTGATTACATTTATTAATAATCTGACTGCTTATTTTTGAATTCATCTCATTTGTTGTTTTGTTTGGATTTTAAAATCAACTTACGGTAGCAATCAGATTTCAAGCTGTGAGGTAAAAAGTCCTGAGAACCGAATCCTGATCGCGACCAGTGGAGGCGCTTCACCCCTTGTCAAGCTGCTAACC